CTTATTTAAATTTTCAAAAAGATTAATAAGAATTTTTCTTTTTTTGAAAATGAAATTACAAGTTATTATAATTACCTCGCTCGTTATACCAATTACCATTATTAATAAAATCTTTAACATCTTTGACAATACGTTCTTTAACACCTTGATCTAATATAACGGAATCCAACAATCTCCGTTTTCGTGGTAACCCAAAAGGTCTCCATTCCGGACCCCAGCTTGTGTAAATCACCGTTTTGCCTTCTTGTTGAGCAAGAGCAAGTTCCTGGGCTTCACGTAATAGATCCGTGAAAATATGACGGTCACGACTTATAGTTGTGAGAGTCACTGTTTCCCAGGGACTTCCTGTTGTTATATCTAGCATTTTATTATCTCGAGTGCGTTCAACCTGTTCATTTATTTATTTATTTACATGAATTCCAAACGAACGGATTTGAAATGCATGCAAAGCTGAAATTTGATTTAATCAATCTAGTTTACGTGAATTACAGCGTATTTGATCATGAAAGTTAATACAGCTTTGAATACATTTCAAATTCGTTCAAAGGAAGGCACTTCATTAATATTCCACAAAAATTCAAAAAAAAAAAAAAAAAAAAAGACCGAAACAATAGATGAAGAATAAAGCCATCAGGTGTAAAATATATTCAATAAAAAAAAAAAAACAAACAATGACATACTTGTAACCATACACCCTTCCATTTAAAAAAGTGTCTTCCTGGACCTGGCACAAGTTTAAAAGCCGCGCTTACACTACCATTATCATGTTGCATAAAGGAGGTCTCTACGGCAAGTTGATGCGCATTTCTTATCGACTGTTTGGACATCCAATGTAAAAACCAAGTATATGACTTATCTTTCGAAGGAATTTCCAATGAGACCAGTAATTGACGACGAGCTAGGGTCATTCCACGAGTTAATCCCTGACGAAGGATTGCTAGGCCGGCACCTACTCCTAGTACACCAACACCAGCAGAAAAATAGGGGTTTGAAGAAAAAAACGTGCCTAAAAGAGGAGAGTCGGGCATGTTTATAGCAAAAGTTGGTGATCATCGATTTCTTTTAAAAATTTTCTGACCAATGAAAATCTTTACAATTATCTGATAAAAAAATTTTTTTGATACTGATATCGATAGATATGCTATCGTTATAAAGTTACTTATTACAAATTATATCGATATTATTTAAATAATCAATACGTATCCTGGAGGCGCAAAATTTCTAGAGAGCTATTAATCTTGATGAGTACAAGTGATAATTTTATTAAAAATCTTGTCTAAATTATTTCTTAACACGAAATAACGCCCGGGCGTTATTTCGCGCAAATACAGTAATAAAGACAATAATATTTATTAAAAACTGAATAAATTTCAATTTTGCCAAATTTCGAATGTATAATCCTTTTTTTTTTTTGAATGTCTTTAAGAGAAAATATAAAAAAAACAAGATCATAAATGGACAATAACAGATAATGCGATTAACAATACCTTAACATACATCGCGCATTAACAGGTCTATACGTACGTATACGTACGTACGTAAGTACATAATGTTAAACATTAAGTTTATTTGTAAGGTTTGCCCCAAAGTTTTTTATGTTAAACAAGATTTTTTTATAACCTTAATATGGAAAGGTGGACAAAAAAAAATTTTTTAGAAATTTACTGCTAGTTCTATTTATTAATCGAATTACAGTATTATGAGTTCTTGAAAATCTGTAAAACGATGGGATGGTACACCTTTTCTATATACGGATCATTGGGTTAGTCTTTCGAAGAGTTCCAAAATGTATAGACATATTAGGAAAGTGTCACACTTAAATGTATATTAGCAATTACCCATTGTTTTTTTTTTCTGTTCCCCCTTTTTCCGTTTCGTTTATAATATTGGTATTAATCGCAAATTCCTATATAATCATTATTATTAGTGCGTGGAAACAAACGACCTTTATTTGTTTCTACCGTTGTTTGTTTCGGCATTTATTATTTTCCTAAATTGCCTTGCACAAAGCACCCCGGAAAAAGACGAAGCCATGCTTACCGTTACTCATATTACTTATGCTGTTTTAACTACTCTGCTAACTCATAATTTAATTATTCGTCTTACGGTAGCTTCTTTTTTCGACAAAATCCATTATTTTATCACGTTTTCTCAGTAACTGCATCGTCAGAAGAGAAATTCATTAATTTATCAAGTTAATCTACCATCTTTAATTTTCTATGTCTGATTCAGACTCTATACATTCTACTGATGTCCCACCACCCGTCCCACCAAAGGATGATTTTCGTCCTGCGCTCCCACCAAAGGATCTTCCAAAAGCTTTCTCATTCACTGGCCCTTCGAATTCTAGTGATTTAAATGATGCAACTACTAAAAATCGCACCAAAAGATTATCTTTGTTTCCTGCATTAGGCTCACTATTTACACCTAGTGCTGCTAAAGCAAATACGAATGATGTTCCTAGAATATCTTCTCACTCTGAAAGTATGTTTTCAAAATTTTCATCTTGGTGGTCAAATCTCAGTAGACTGAAACCAAGAAATACTGCAAATGTTGTTCCAATAACAATATCTTCATCATCTTCGGCCACATCGTTAATTGCTCCTCAGACGACAGATGACGGAGATAATACTCAATCTCCAAAAGTTAAGAGATCTAAGAGCATAACCAATTTGTTTCGGAAAATTAGTTATAAAAAAAAGGAAAGAAATAATAATAATAATAATGGAACAAATGCAACTGTGGCGGGTGAACATTCAGTCTCTGAGTTTTCAGCGACATCATCCAGAAATCAATCGAATAAAAGGGCTAGTTTTGTATCATTTATAGAAAAATTAAATCGTAAATTTTCTTTTAGTTCTAAAAAATCCAATTCAACTAAATCATCTAATAATCAAAAGACATCATCTCGAATTAATCCATCAAAAACTGATTGGTCCTCTTCTACTTCTACTTATCATAATGGTGATATTAAAAAATCTAATGCCAAACAAAAGCAAAAGATGACAACTGATAATCATGATCTTACAGCTTCAACTCAGACTTTATGCCCTGATGGATCCTCAATTTCAACAACTCATTCAACTGCAGCTGAAACGATGGAATCCTATAATAATGAAGATGTGAATTTTGAAGATATATCGGTAGATATTTTGGAGCCCTTAAGATATTCGATGGCAAAATCTAATTCATCGGACGATACGATAAAAGGTGCCTCAAAAACAAGTCGTCATAATAGATTATTAGACATTTTCACTCCTAAAAGTACTTCTCAACGTGTTTCAACTTCTTCTCGCGGGAGTCGTGGAAGTATTGTTCACACAACAAATGGTGTTCCCAACCGTCATATCAGAATCAATTCAAACATTCTAAAAGATCCAACAAGCCTAGATGAAACACAACTAGAGAATTATGAGAATCGACTTTCTTCACAAATATACTCAAACCCGGATATTCCATATTATGTAATTGATAACGAAGGGGATGATGGTACACCTAGTAGTGATTTAGCAGCAGAAGAGCAAGCTAGATCTGAAATGTCACCATTGCGTCTGTTTAAGAAGAAATTTTATCAAAATTTCCTATCATCCAATAATCAAGAGATAAAAAATAGGACCGAATCCATACCAACAATAATCAATCATGGAAATGGTCAGATTCCTGTTAGTTCTGACGATGTCGAGAATTTTGTACCACTTAATGATGAAGAATCTGATGATGACTCTGATGATAATCATGATGTTAATGATGAGCTTGATGATTTAACTCTTGATGATGGTATTGAGAGTGATGTTTCTACTACTCAATCACAAGCACCTAGTTCTAGTTTATATACATCACCTGATAATGATACTACCACTAGTAAACAACCATTTTCTCGTATGTCATGGCTTGCAAAATCTTTTGATTCCGAAGATCCATCTGCTTTTCATATCCGTCCTGATTCTCTTATTGCTAATCTTAAAGTGGCCGTTCCCTTAAACAGTGCGAAGGATGCATTTTCTAATCCTCAATCTATAGATAGCAAAGGCCCAGCTATATTAAGTAATTGCCGAATAGCATTTATTCCAGTCAATTTCTTTGATGGACTTTATAACATTAGAGAACTTTTTCTTGATCGAAATTCCCTGAGAGATTTGTCTGAAGAAATTTTAAAACTTACTAAATTAGAAATTTTAGATCTAAGCAATAATTGTATTTCACGATTTAATCCAAGATTAAAATTTAAAAAGATGAAGAATTTACGACGTCTAAATTTGGACAATAATATACTATCTGATATAACGATCATATGTAAAATTAAGACACTAAGAGAACTAAGAGTAAATAATAATTTCTTAGGAACATTAACAATGGACATTGCAAAATTAGTCAAGTTGCGATTATTATATTTAGATAGTAATCAACTTGCAACTCTACCTAATTCAATCGGTCGATTAAAGTCTTTATGCGTGTTACGTCTTAATAACAATAATCTTGAAGAACTACCATTGTCAGTGTGTTCGTTGCGTCAATTAAAAGTTCTGGAATTGAAGTCAAACCTTTTAACACAATTACCAGAAAATCTTAAGGAATTAGAAAGTTTAGCTAAACTTGATGTTTCCAACAATCAACTTACTTCAATCCCGAATGACATCGTAAAATGCAGCAGATTAACTCATCTGAATGCATCTAATAATAAGCTTGAATCTTTACCACCTAAATTTGGACAATTATACCGATTGATTACTCTTAATCTTCGTCAGAATCAAATTAATAATCTTCCAGCTGACTTTGGCAAACTCACAAATTTAACAGATTTGGATTTATCTTATAATGAATTGGTCGTGTTGCCAGAAGGTTTAGGAAGCCTTAAGAAGCTTACCGAAATTAAACTCAACAACAATACATCATTATTAGCGATTCCAGACACATTCCAGAAATTATCACAAATAAAAAAAGTTTATTTACAACACTGTAACCTAAGCTCAATTCCATTCATGATGGGAGAAGCGTATAATCAACTTAAATATGTTGATATATCTTATAATTTATTTGATACTATTCCTGATTTAAATGGAATGAATAATGTCACAGTATTCAACATTGCAAATAATCGAATAGTTGATTTAACTGAAACAATTGATCAACTGGGATCTTTATGCGAGTTGTACGTAATGAACAACAAGCTTACACATATACCAAGATCAATTGGACATTTAAAGAATTTACAAGTATTAGATTTTTCCGAAAACATGATTGTTGAATTACCGTTATCAATTGGTGATTGTCAAAACTTACGAGAACTTAAATTACAAGGTAATCCATTGGAAAGCTTACCGGCGACTTTGAGATATTTGACTAGTTTGGATATATTTCATGTTGGACAATGGCCAACGACCGAATTCAAAATAGTACATAATGAAACTTTACAAGAAAATTTGAAATTGAGTCCATATCAACTTAATATTCCACAAGATGCTGAACGCACATTATTATGGAGAATGCATGATTCAATATTAAAAAGATTAAGAGAAATTGACTGCAATGATGGGACTTCCGAAAGATCTTTAAAGAGTTTTTCAAATGAAAGTAATGCATCACAATATGGTGGAATTCATCCAATGGCACCAGACCTTTCACCTAGTTCTTCATCGTCAAGAGATGATGTAATATTGAAAATGACGGTTTTGAAAGGAGTTTATGATCAAATTATGAAGGATATGCGCAACAATGATTACGGTAAAGAAGCAAGTAATGATGATACAACCGAATCTTCAGATAGCATGAGGAAAAAATTTGCAAAATTGAAAGATTTTAAATTTTTAAAAATTGGGGATAACAAGTAAAGATTTTATTGCTGGCCACTATTATGATTTTTCTCTTCAAAATCGTCATTATATATTTATACATACATATTTGCATTACACACATTTTGTATATATGGAAAAATATTTATGATTTTAAATAGTCTTAGTAACGGCACTTTGTACATTATTTTCATTTCCAAGCATACTTCAAGTTTGTTATTCTAGTTCTTTACATTTGTATTTGTAAAATATAGACTAATGATCATATATTTTAAAGTTCGAATTTACTACAAAATATTGATCAGATGTATTGTAATGACTTTTTCCATCAAACAACGGGAATAATCGGATATGATCCTGTTTAAAATAAAGGTTGTAATTATTTTTAGAGTGATGTGTTTTTATTAAATAAAAAAATCACTAGGACTTTTATCAGATACTATTCGTTTGTGTCACTACTAATAAATCCATATTTTTCCTTGAAAAATCAATTTACACCATATTAGGTATTAATAAGTTTTTAATATCGTAAACGTATAATTATAAATTTATTAACGGACAAAACCCATCTCCCACTAGTTGTACTTATTGGTCAAATAAAATGATGTACTTTAATTATCAGGTGCTTAAATGAAAATAATATCTTTACAGTCACTCTCCATACAGTCATATCCACTCTAATTTATAAAATTATATAGCTTATAATAAAATTTACCTTTATATAAGCACAATTCTTTATAAGCACCCAAGGGCGTGACTGTAGAGAGGTCATACTATATTATCTATGTGATTCAGCATAGCAGGCTTTCATTCTGATTGGCTAATAGAAAACGAGTTCGAAGTAAAAACATTTTAAAAGTTATTACCGTAAATTCTCGAAATAGTGGGTATAATAATAATTTGCAAGTTTGTGTCGATTTTAAATCAAGATTTTTCAAAATCACATGATTATCCCATATGTGGATTCAAAATAACATCCATGCGCGTCTTGAAATAACGCACATCTCACTATTATGTATTTTGAAAAAACTGGGTTCAAAGATAGGGAAGTTAAAGAGTCCATTCGGTCCGATCCGGGTCCGGTTCTTAATAAGTCGGGGTATAACCCAGCAGTTTAATATTCAATATAGATAATTTTGAAAGCGAAATGCCAAAAGTATTCATGACTCACTTTTATCTGGACTAGTTTCGGACCGGCTCTAAAAAATTCGGTCCCAGCCCGGTCCGAACCAGTCCTTTGTGGACTACTTAACATCCCTACGTATTCGGAAAATATGCTTATATTTCGAAATAACGCCCATGGGTGTATTCGAAATAGCGCGCAGATGCCCGCTATTTGAGAATTAATAATAAAAAAAAAAAAAAAATTCTTTAAACTTAACAATTCAATAGATATATATGAAGATAAGTTTTATTAACCAAATCGCTTACTAACTATATAATACAAGATAAATAATAATAGGACTGGGTGAAACCCGCATTGTAAATTAGTATAATCCCTCGATCACTATATCAAGTTCACGGGAGGATTAATTAATAATATCCTGACCGTATGTGAATAAGCGGAAACGAAGTTTCCGCTAATTCCCAACGGATCAGGACATTATTATTACAAATCCGCTATGTAGATCACATTAGGGTGAAATCCGCGCTTAGCTATGTTTTATTATTTTTTATTATGCAAAAGCGAATTTCACCCTCATGTGATCTACGTAGCGATTCACAGCGCGGGTTTCGTGGATTATCGCAAAATTTGGATCTATTTTATGTACGATTTTGAAAAATTTTTGGGGCCTTTTTTGTTGGCTTTTTTTTTATAATTAAGTTAGGATTTAGGTTTAGAATTATTAATAAAAGAGTATAGGTGGATTTTGGTAGGGCTTATATTGTCAAATTGAGACCTCTAATATAAATGAATTAAACAGAACTGCCAACTATCAATAAATATAATACATGGAGAGTACGGGTAGTATAAAAAAACCAAATACTAACTACAAAATCTAGCGTGTAATTATATATATCCTACATATATTTTATGTTTAATGTCGGGGATGATGCTGAAACATTGACTTATTTTAATATGAAATTTTAAATTTTTGGGGGAATGTTGTTTTTAGCTTTTTTTTTGTAGTTAAGTTAGGGTTTAGGATAAAGTGGACTGAAAAATTTGATGTGCACATATGTGCATATGTGTGCATTTTTTTTATAGATCATATATGCACATATGTGCATATGTGTGCATTTTTTTTATAGATCATATGTGCACATATGCATATCAAATACAGTATATAGTCGATTTCATATGTAGAATGAACATCTTTATAGTACTGTAGTATGACATTTGCTTAAAATTTAAGATTTATTTAAATCTAAAAAAAAATTTATTTGATTTTATTAAAATATATAAAATTCAAAATACCAATCAAATTTTCTGAAAGAGCTTGTCTTCTATCTGTAAAAATATTTTTATACACAGAGAAGCTTCACTTAACATCAACTCCAAAACAGGAAGCCAAATATAAACTAAAGCTATTTGTGACAACTTAGGAAGATGCATAGCTTTTTCTTTCTAATAAGAATCTAAATTAAATTCACTATCATAACTAAAATTTTTATTTAGTTTACAATAAATCCCTCACTTACGTATAATCATATAGTTAGAATTTTCAAATTCAAAAATATATTTATACAAATTAATATCTTGCTTACTTTATTGTAAATAAAGATACCAGGATCAAAATATTGAATCATTTTAAATAAAGATAAAGTAGAGTATTGGTCAATATGTTTTTTAAATTTATTTAATATTAATTTATACATCTCTTGAAATTTATTTATATATTGTAAGAAATCTAGAGTTGAAGTATTAAATTTAGTTAATATCTTGTTGTTTAAAGATGAAGTAATAGTACCAGATTGTAGTTATGCTTCAAGTTGTGTTAGATAGTCTGATACAGAAAACACTACAGACTTATTATAAATTTTGAAAAATTTTAGTGTATTAAAAAGGCTAAATAACAAAAAATACTAAAATTAATTATATATGTTGTAAAAGTATGAATAATATATTAGGTTTAAATAATACAACTAATACTACTAAAACTAACTAAACTACTCTAACCAGAATACTACAACTAGTACAATCAAACCCTAATATTGGTAAAGCTTCGATTAAAGTATAAAAGATTAGGTTTTTAGCAATAGTATCATAAATTATATTACAAATTTCTTTATATAATATCACAGAATTTGGTTACTAATTCTAATTATTATTATTTTTTTTTTTTTTGGTGTTAAGGTGGCCTCTTGGCCGGCTCCTTTTATTCGGTTATAGTTAACTTTTAC